GGAATTGCACGGTACCTATGGACCTTTCACATTCACATTCTCCTGCTGGCAAAGATTGTACTATTGTGTATCCCTTCCCATTCAGGTCCAACACCCACTGGAACAAATGGGCAGCCATCATCTTGTTATCTGCTGTTCTTTAATATATCTTCTTGTAATGTTTTTTGTCCAGTTTATTTTTAAGGACTGTGAAGCCGGGCTCTAATCATTCTGCCTTGAGAAGAATGCGTGGCCTGATTGTGTCTCCGGGCAAGGGGAGTGAGATACACTTCTGCAGATACACTGGATACCTGTTTTCCTCCTCTAGCTATCACCCTGAGACTGTTCTGTGTTTTCACCCTCTGTTCTATCCTTAGTCTTTTATTGTGTAGTTACCCTTTTCCAGGGCCTCCCAAAAACATTCATTTTGCTGAAACTGTGGCTTCTAGTTTGGAGGTAAATTCTATCTCTGCGGAAGAAAGAATATATCCTTTTCTGTTTCTATTTTTCAATTTTCTGGAATATTTTTTGTGATTTGTAAACGTCAACAATGCATGTCTTTTAGAAGCCAGAATCTCAAGTATAGTTTAAGAGCACAATCATTATAGCAACACAAAAGTTGGGTATTTTACACAGTGTTAAGTAACAGACACTGTGCCCCCATGACCTTTCAGCAAGACACACGACTATTCCTCATTTGTGATGGCAAAACTGCTATAAAACTGAAGCAATAACACTGCAGGGGGAGCATGCCATGATCTGAAGCCTGACAGCACATTTACATCCTAATCAATGGTTTGGATAGAAAAGACTTTTTTTGCAGTGGCTTTGTACTTTGCCTTCACAGGGTGACTACTGAAAGATGAAATCTTTTGTGGTAACTTCTGGAGAAGTAATTCAGCTGCTTTTGAGAAAGCAAAGAATAAAAGCAGAATAGGTTGGGTCTATGCCTCCCCTAAGTTGTCCTATGCTTACTAGTGTTTCTAAGGCAAGCGCTGGGGAGGAGTTCAGTCTAATGACAGGACACGGCAGTAGATACACATGCTCAGGACAGGACTAATAAATTTTATGAGGGATCTAATATGGCTTACTTTACAGAAATACTTTGTACGCTTGTCAGTAGCATTAAATACCTAAGGGCTGTGCTAACCTCAGGAGTTCATGCAGCTTAACTTGAAATGCACCCATACTGCAATCAGGCTCTGACAAACCTCTTCACATTCAGTGGCACTCTTAGGCTCAGGCAGGAGATGAAAAACATCCTTGTTATCTAGTGCAGTTCTGCCTTAAAACTTGCCTTCTAAACATAACACATACCAAAGAAAGAATACTTTTTTGGTGAAGTTAATGTCACCCTGCTGACAAAAGAATTCCTTCTGCTGGTTCTTACTATGCACGAAAACACTTTCAACATGAAATAGCCCCTACTGCATTTGGAGTGGAGGGATTACAGCAGCCCAGCAGCCACCATGGCTCAGCAGTCCCTCTGCTGCAATTCCCACACTGATTTTAGCTGCACCACAGCCTTGTCTCACAGTGAGGGGATCACAAACTCAGGGATCAGAATGACCAAACCCACATATCTTATAAGTAGGCCTCAGGCTTTTCACAGATTACCTACTATTCCCTGTAAGTATACTTTATTAGTTATAGGTGTACCTTATTCCCCAAGCATTAAGGATGGGGATTTCCCATAAAACAATAGAGAAGGGACAGAGAAAATGAGAATGAATCCCTGAGTGTTCCACCTTTTTTTTACAGACTTGTGCTCTTGTATCAACATAATAGGCCCATGCAAATGGTTCAACAGGAATGTACTATTCCAAGAAACACAAGGAGGTTTTTGTGTATGTAGAAAACCTATTTGGCTGATTTCAGGTATTTGAATATTATTTAACTCACTGCTAATCCAAGCTGTACTCTTTTAAAGGGGCAAAAGCATGGTTCTCCACAAAAGAACTCAGAAAAAGATTAAGTGAACTGTGTATATGGGAAACAGGATTGGGCACAGGAGGAAAACGAAGGAAAAGTGTTAATCCAGTCTAGGCTTAAATGGAAAGAATATTCACATGGGATGTCTTCTTTCAAAGGTAAAGGGACCTGATAATCTGCGGGTGGGGGGGACTAGTAGGACAGGTTAGTACCATCTGTGGCTCAGGTTGGGGTGCAGACACATACAGTTACAGGCAGAGGAATCTCCAGCAATGCAATAGTGATGTAGGCTGTCAGCGTGATCTCATCATTCACTCCACCCTGCAGGGAATCACAAAAGTGCATGTTGATCCCAGGGAATCACAAAAGTAGATGTTGATCCCACACAGCTCCACTGCCTTTTCCGTGTGGTACGTATCTACATCCTGCATTGACAAATTCTTCCTGGCCTCCTTCTCATGGTTAGTCCTTCAGAAGATGCTGTTGGCTTCCTCCTGCTTCTGTGATAGCTCATATATATAACTCCCCCTCCTCCCAACCCCCAAGTGCTGAAATAGCTCCGTTGGTCCCAGAGGGACTTATGGTCAAGTTCTAGCCTGACAAAGCCCACGTGGAGCCAACCAGGCAGACATGTTACCTTCACAGCATTGTTCAGGAGTGTGCCAGAACTGCGGAAACAGCCGTTCTCCTTCTGCTTTTGACTGAGCCAGACCAAAGCATCCTGGATGTGCTTCTCATCTATGAAGATATGAGGCCGGGCCTGGGCAAAGGACTTGAGGACAAAGGCTGTGAGCCTGAAAGTGGTAAAGGGAACTGAGACATTCTGAGCAAGCCCTATATCCATCAGAGGTTATAGGGCTCATGTGGGCATCACTGTTCTGGAGGAATAGAGTAAAGGCTACAGGACTTGATCACAGTGGGCTGGTTGGAAGTTGAGAGCAAGCTTAGAGACTCAGTGCGATAGGGATCAGTGCTGACCGGAGGCTGTCATTCATAGCTCTGAGGTCTGCAGCTAGGTGGGCAATGGCACTCTGGGGATTCATCAGCATCTCCTGCAGAGCATCCTGCAGGTCATCCTCACTTGAGCTGAAGAAGGGTGGCAGGGGAGGTAAGCAGCTATCCGTGCATCACTGCAAACCTAAAAGGCCTCTCCCTTATCATCCTTTCCTCCTCCATTATCCTACATGATTATACTATGATGTCATGATTATAATTTCATTTCCACCTCCATTTCAACCTCCACAATGACCAGGCATAAGAGAATACTGAGGAAAAGGAGGGCATGAAAAGCAGAAATGAAAAGCCAATGATACTGAAGTCTTACCATGTATTCCCCACTTGCCCGTAACGGGGCCCAAACGTGCTATAAGAACCATCCCAGTGTTTGTACTTCAGTTGCCTTTGATACCCTGAAAAGGAGAGTGAAGGAGAATTTTAATTGCCACAGTACTTTTCAAGGAACCATGCAAAGGAAATGCAGGAGACATAGGACTCAGTATCCCTCTTCTAATGGCACAAGTGTGAGGTACGCTGCTCAGTGTTACCATGGAAGTTCAGGCAAACACACAGCTCTGACCACCTCCATCCTCCTCCGTAAAACACCTGGGAACTGGGTATCTGAGGTCACCATGATGAAGCAGCACCATGATGAATGGTTACAGACCGACTTATGTGCTTCATACATTCCTACTCTTACAAAGTCAGCTCCTGAGCTGTCAGTACTGGACATTTTCTATGTTCCTGTTTGACTGCTATCTGCTCTTATCCTGCACCTCCACCTGAGCACAGGATTCTCTCTTATAGATACTGTGTTATAGGCACCTGACCTACCACAGTACCACATTTCCTTCCAGCGACCACACAAGCACAGCCTCCCTCTGATCGTGTATGCTAGTGGCCAGTAGTATCTTTATCCAATTGTCAAGGGAAGGAACGAACAGACAAGCACAAGCCACATCCCAGCTTACCGCTCACTAGGTATCCGATGGCCTTGGATTTGACCTCCTCACTCAGCTGCCCTGTCTTGTTCAGATAGTCCAGCACATAGATGTTGGGTGCAAACAGGACCATGTTCTGCTCCCCACAGCCAAACGGCATCTGGAGGAGCTGGTGGAGGTTCTGCATGGCAGTGCCCATGATGTCACCTGGGGAACGGGACCATTTCCAGTGTAAATCAGCACAGTTTAGGGACTGCCAGCGGACTGAGCACAGCCTGAAGAAACATGGCAGTGTGTCAAAACAGCATGTGACACTTGGAAATGGTTTACTTACCTAATACTGAGAAATACGCTCTGGCTGAGCCATCCACCACAGTCTCGGGGAGAACCAGGGAGACTGGCTCTGACACTGACTTTTCTGATGTAAAAGAACAGATCAATCTGGTTAAAATTCCAGATACATCTACATGCATGGGTAGCAGCTAAGAGGGTGAGACACCATTCCCTGCACGGGGGTTTCCTGCCTTCAACAAAACCATTCATCTGTGATTTGTTGTGAAAGCTTCCCATCCTGCAAATTTTGTGTTGGGCCTGGAATACTCTCACACACAAAGTGTCACAGGCTTCTACGTGGCTTTATTACCTGGCCTAGATTGACAAGTACCCTTTCCAGACTATTTTTCTGGCCTTTTCTGCCTGGGTGGGCAGGCCTGGCTTACTGCAGGTCCAGTTTGTGATTATACATCTATTGAATGAAAGATGTTAGTGATAACCCTATTGAATCACAGATATTCTCTCCCTTTAGAGACCTGGCCACCTGCAGTTCCTGAGATATGTTTCTGCCTCTGTAATTGCAAAGACTATTACAGCCTCAGTTCTTCTCCTATAGGAGGAATTATTTTCACCACCAGTTAGACATACATCTAGTTTGCTCAATTTTATCAGATCCCTACATCTTTCTTCTTAGAGTGGAGCATTCAAAAACCTTGTCATCTCCCTTCATCGTTAGTCTCTATCTTTGCAAAGAAAGTCTTAGAAAACAAAAGGCTCTTACCAGAAGCACACAACACAGAGTTGTAGGTAGTTTCCACTTCAGTCCCTTCCGGCTTAAGGAAAAAGGTAAGAAAAAAACCCCAAAATATGTGAAACAACAACAACAACAAAAAAGAAAAGACAGAAATATCAAGTTGGAAACTAAAAGGGTCTCTCAGAAAATGAAAATCTTATAAATTCTCCTGTGGTAATAACTTCATTATACCAAAAAGTCTTTAGAAATAGCTTGAAGTTTTTTCCTCAATATGCTAAACTGAGGATAATTGAAGACTATAACACACTGGCATGAAATTTAATACATGTTCTTATCCTTTCTTATTACTGAGAGAGGCCCTGTGACTTCACAGGTTACAAACCAGATATCATGCAACATGATGCTACCAACAGTGCTAACAGAGCCACAGGGTTCTGTCTTCCAAAGTGCTACCCTTGGCCCAGTCTAGAAGAAATTCTTCTTACTGCGGTGGCAGCTGAGTGCCTGGGACACCAGTAGAATATGTGTGCAAGAGCCTTGACAGGTAGCAACTAAAGCACTGCAATGTACTCACAAGTGACATGTTACACCACCAGAATTTGAATACATGCCAGAGCCAACTAGTGACTGCATCCTGTTTCAAAAACTTCTGGTCTACTTTTTGAAGTTGGGAAAGAAACCCCATTTTCTGTTGAGCTGGTTGAAAACATTCTGCATTAAACTCAGGAGAAAATATTTACTAGAAAACATACTTTGTCAGAGTTTATTTCAATTGGATCCCACAGAATTTTTATTTTTTTTATTAACTCCAGGTAGGAGAGTTCCCATTTTTTCCAAAAACTCCCAACTTTTGCCAGCTGAATTCTTTTTCCAGCATGTAAACAATGTATTACTACCTTCACTTTCTCACACAGTTAAAATACATTGTTTCTCATTCTTTAGTGACAGAGAAAGGATCAAAAAGATCATTTCTGGATCAGAAGAGTAGGGGAAAAATTAAAAATTAAAAAAAAAAAGGAAAGCTTTTAGGATAAACTATGACAGAGCTAAATGTTTCAGTTCGAAAGGGCACCTTCTTGCTTGTTTCAGTGTGTCATTCTGAAATGCAACTGAGAAATCCATTGTTTTGTTTGATTTTGAACATCTCGGCAGGAAATTAAAACATACAAACTGCAGCTATTTGAAATATTTTCCTTTCCAGCTGAGAAATCCCCGGGTGAAAAAACATCCTGTTTCGCAACCAGCTTTCAGCAAGGCTTAGTTTCCCAAGAGGCAAGAGAACACCCCATGGGCTCTGGCACACTCCCTTCTCTCTGGGATGCACTGCCTGTTGCCGGGAATGTTGTCGTCCGTGTATCTGGGACAATGCAACTCCAAGCAAGTTACACTGTATCCACCACTGATGAATAATTGTTCAACCTTGGATGCTAATCTCCCATTCTACCCAGTCAGGGATTGCTGTAGATTAATTACCTCAATACAATTGACAGGATAAACCCAGGAACTTCTCAGACACCCTGACAGAAATCATTTTAATGCTCATTCAGTTACTTTCACTCCCACACCATCTGGGAGAAAAGACTTCACAGTTCTTTTCTTCCAATATCTTCAAAGAACAAAATTAACACTCTTTTTCCCGAAGGCAGATATGAAATTAGGAAGTTTTCCTGAAACGTTAACATTATTCATGCCATGATACATTAAATGCACTATACATTCAAGTTCATGTGTAAGTAAGTGAATAAGTAAATAAATAAATAAGCCTAACAGATAGGATTGTTCCACCATTACATTCAGGTTAGTAACACGTATTATGAAGTTACATATTACATGAATCCTAGCTCTGCCTTACTGAAAATTGGAATGTTTGCAATGTAAGTAGGATTGCAATGCTATATATTACTGTATTACTCCTGACTTAATTTTATTAAATGTGATTATTCCTTCCTGTCAGGCAAAGGATTGACAATATTATGACATGTTGTACTATATAAATTTCGCTATACTAAAAGCTAGTACTTTCGGTTTGCTATTAATATCACAGGGAGTCTCATACTGTGGATTAATTTTATGACTGGCTATTTAGCATGGGAAAAACTGTGGTTTTATCATTGCAAAACACTGCTTAAGGAAAAAAATGTACAAAAGAATGAAAAAAAAGTCAGTTCTTACTATTTAAAGATTCTTAAGAGTGTGATAAAACCAATTCAAAACAATGATGGTAGTTTTGTCTGGACATACTAGTAGATTGTGGTGATTGTTCCATATTCCGGAGTACTGGCTGGGTGCTGGAGGAGATGTATAATGTTTTTGGCAAGTCTTCCATTTACAACCTATCTCTGTGATTTATTACAGGTAAAACCAAGGAGTACTCATTTATCTCACAGGTGATGTGTCTGGGGCAAACCTGTCATTATTGCCTGCCTTATTATATCTGTCCCACTATCTAATATAATACCCTGCTTTACCATGAGATGGCCACATTAGGAGTTATGGGCTCTGTTGGCCTGTGTGAGATTTATCAATGCTTCTTTTATAAAAGTGTGCAGAGTAAGAGTCACACAAGCCATTATTGCTGCTATCATGGCTAAACCAGAAAGCTCCTCTCATACAGCAATTATTGCATTGGAGCATGAAATTATTATTACTTTTCTATGCCGCCAAACTCAGCAGCCCACATACCTCCACCAGCAGCTGTCTGATGACCGTGTCCTTCCTCCCTTTCTCAGGAGTCTCCACGACGGGGTTCCCACAGGGCTGCTTATTCTGCAGGGCCTCAGTGCTCACCAAGAACTCCACCTGCCCTGGAGGAAACAGGGGTTAGCCAGCCCTGCTGGGCAGTGCCAGGGACATACGTGTTTGTGTTTGTGCTGGGCATTCTCTGGGGCATTACAGAGAAGCTTTTCCAAGAGGAGAACTAAACTCGAGACAGTTTTGATCCAGCTGCAGCCTTCCAGGCCACCTTCTTTCTGATGACCACCCCAGCAGGTGCTAGTCCATCACCAAGAAGAGTAGTGGAGGGACAGGTCATGTAAATCAGTCTTGTTCTGGGAGGCTTTAGAGAAATCAAGCTTTGACTAAAATATTTAAGACCCAGACACATTAAGCTAAGACATTCTCAGCTCCCTAACAGGAATGTCTGAGGGCTTTGCACTCATTAAGGGAATTTGTGATTTCTATTCAAATGTTAAGAAAACAATGGCCCGTAACACTTAGTTTGTTTAGCACCTGGATGCTGCAACCCAGTGTAGTGTCTCGACCTCAGGGTTGGAATTCTCATTTCTGGCAGAGACAAGATACTTCCAGACAGGTTTGGAGTCACCTAGGTCCTCCCACCAAAGATCTCATGACATGCACAGGTATTTGATCCCAGCATTTTCTTGTTGTTCAGCTTCTTACCTAGAGATCTTGGTGTCACTGCCCAAGCCACAGTTTTCCTTTCATTCATGCAGATGCAGTAGGATTCTTCCTGCTTCTCCACTGGTGTAGCCATAAAATGAGTAGATTCATCCAGAGACACACTGACCTGCGAGGTGTACAGAGAGGTGTCATGAAGACTGGAATTGCAGAGAAGCTGGGGTATGGGAGACAGTGCTATACACGGATATGTGTAGTGGAGCTGGTTATACTGTGAGACTGAGAACCTTATGGATATTGCAGAGCAAGAACTGAGTGATAAAGTGGAAAAAGACTGAGGTGTGTACAATTGTCAGAGATGGGGCAGGTAAGTGTAGAGAACGGGATTGTGTATCTTGGAAACGGATTCTGGGAAAATGGAAAGCATGGGCCAGTTGTGGGAGTAAAGGCAAAGAAGTGACTACAAACTTAGCCATGAATTAAAGATCCCCCTCATGATTAGTTGGGTGAAGAGGTAAAACACTAGCAGTGAGAAACCTAGTAAGGAACAATGGAGAGTGGAACAATAAACCTGAAAATTGCAAACAAAATAGAAAAGACAGGGAAATAAATGAGAGTGCACAGGAATGGCTGGATCAGTGCCTCTCCTTGTTTCAGCTTCATTCCTTTCAGAATAAGAATTGTATTTATAAACAACTGAGCAAAGGCGATTGATATTTTGTTTGGCTAACCTCCCAGCCTCGAAGACTAACCACTTCTTTGTTGGTGAAAAAATGCAGATAAGAACAGTGAAGCTATGTAGTTCTCTCTGCTCAGTGTCCTAGGGGCAGATGCAATGTAACACAGGAAGCCTACATATTCAAGCATATCTGGTGTGATACTTTGTGAGATGTTTATATGAGATCAGACTGAAGACTGAAGGCAGGTATTCACCCTGGTGAACCTGGAGTTTCTGTGTGGGTATGCAATGACTCTGTGGTCTGTGGATAACCCAAGTTTCATATTTCTATAGGACAATCACATAAACCTGTGATGACAAAGCTGGGGCCTCAGTAGCAAAGCTTTAGTTTCTGAATCAAATGCAGATCTCAAAACATCAGAAAAACATATTCCCCTTCATTTAATATACCAAAAATACCTACAGAAGTACACCTATACGAAATTATTGTCAGACACAAGTCATCTGGCTTGGGGAAACCATGTTACAAATGGCCCACTGTAGTCTTCCCTAAGCTGCCAGACTGAGCAAAGTTGTGCACGTGTCTTACCCTGATGCAGGTGGTCAAGTAGTTGAAAACGGTGGCTTTCAGCGTGAAGGACTCGCCACGCACCACAGAGTAGGGCATGGTGAGCTCTACAAAGAAGGGCTGGAAGGCTCTGAAGGTCACTGTCGGGGACAGGCCAAAGCCCGTGTCTGCTGAAGTGCAGAACGCGTTGGCTTTCCACTCGGTGATGGTGTCAGGGATGGTCACATCTAGACCAGCGCTTCCCTCAGAGCTGGTGAGGGACAGACAGCAAGATTTCAGTTATATTATGGGGATCATCTGTGTTTTTCTCAGCCTACCGAACAACACCTGCTGACAGCAAACTCTTGACCAGCTCCATATGGGCACTGGCTTTTGCATGTCCCCCCAAAGCATCCTATACTTAGGGACCTTGAAAAATCCCTCTGTCTGCTAGGAATACCCTCCTACTGAAATTCCGATACTTCCATTGAGGCTTAAGTATCTTCCAAGGTTTTGCCCCAGTGACCACACTCTACATTCCCATAAACACTTACTTCACTGGAACTATGTCCCAGATCCATGTCTCTGGGAAGTACTTCCGGACAGTCTCCACAGGATTGCCAGCAACCATATGTTCTGCTACTTCATAGTCCAAATCTTCAAGCAGATTCAATGCAGTCACTAGTAAATTTGTTCAAGGACGGGAAGAAAGGAAAAGACATGTCAAACTCCTTTCTGAATCAGGAGGATACTTTCCTTCCACGTAGTGGTTATTCTTAGCTAGAATTTTAAAATTGAAAGAGCAACTTTGAAACCTTGGCCACTGGAAACAAATGTATTTCCCTGTTGTCATCTCCATATTTCATTTTTCCTAATGTTTATGCTGTTCTTACAGCGATTGGATGGGGTTGAGCATTCTCCCCCCACTGCCAGCAAACCCAGCAGTGCCAAAAGAGCCATGTATGATGATGTTACTGAGGGTACATTTTTATTGCAATATAGAGTCAAATGTGGAACTTACTGACTCCAGATATTACAGTTGCATATAGTTTATTAAATTTGGTTGAAGAATAGATTGTGTTGATACGTGATCAGACACAGAAGTCAGACTTAGCCTTCCCCTCCTCCATCTAAGCTTCTTTTGAGATTAATATGGGTATTTGCATCTCTGGCCAATTAGCAAAGGAACCATGATGCTTTCTCAGTGTTGCATAGTGTTGTGCCTTATGGAAGGCTTTCCATCAGCCTTGTAAGACTTCTACATCTTCTCAAAGCAGCCATCTGTCTCAGGCCATGCTTTGAAGACATATCCTGCATTTCAAAACCAAAGATTTGATCTGTTATAAATAGAAGGCTAGAAGCTATCACCAGACAAAAAGCTGCCATTTTTTAATAGGAGCTGGGAAATGGCACCAGGAAAGCCAGTGACTGGAGGTGATATAGGCAAAGTGTTTTATGCAGCCTTTCTTATCTCAGAACTATTCAGGTAAAAAAGGTAATATTATTCTATCTTCACAGTCACTGAAGTTGCAGAGAAGTGACGTAACCTACCCAGCCTCTGAGCCATGTGAATGGATTGCTGGGAACAGGGCCAAATTTCTCAGCCTCTACCCACAGAACTGTACCACCTTCTCATTTGTCTTGGCCCACTTTTGCTGTAGTAGTTCCTTTAGTTATTGCGGGAATGTGACTACCTAGAAGTAAAGACTCCTTTTTTAAGGTTTCCATAGCTGGACTCACATCTGAGGGGGAAAAAGGAAAAGCCACTACTTTGTGCTGGCAGACTGCTTTAGTGCCTGCAGGATTTCTGCTGCAAGGGCTGGCATGGGAGTCACCAAGGACACACAGTGACAGCCAGGTATATCTGTCTAGCTGGGGGTAAGAAGGCAGAGGTGGATCAGCTTCATATTTCAGGACTGAGTCCAGGACAGAGTGATCCTGAACTAGGTCAACATTATCTGAATATAGTCTGGTCTGCCTGGTGTAACTAATATTCAAAGAAATAGGAGTCGCAAATTTTAGGTAGTTGTGTGGGAGGTAAAATGAAGAAGGTACTAGAACCACTGTAACTCCTTTCCATCATGTGTCCTGGGTAATGCTGGCAGATTTCAGGCTTATGGATCTTGCTGCTAGTGAAGACTTTTAAGCCCAATTCCTAGTAAACAAAGAGAAAGAAGAACAAAAAATATGCGAACACACTTGAAAAGAAACTATTTCTAGTATGTCAAAAGTCTGCTATCAATCAGAATAACAAAGGTTTGTATATAAATGTCAGATAGACTGGTTCAACCCAGATTTTGAGGCTTTATCATGTTACAGTCATCCTAAGGCTAAATCCTGGCATGATCAGATGGAAAGCTAAGGCCAAAAGTCTACCCTGGGACATCTGCCTGGATGAAAATGATGTGTGAAAAACACTGGATTGAGGGTACCTGAAAATTCTTATACAGGACTCTTTAGATGGGTATAGGTCAGTTTGTGGGTTATCAAAGTAGCTGGCACTTTATTAAAGACCTATCTACACCAGATAGAGAATAGCCATGACTGAGGAAGAGTTTCTAATATTATGGCACCAGATGTCACTTTCAGGACTGTTTCCTTACTCGGGTCTTATTTGCAGGTATCTCTAATAGCAATGGGGAAACCTTTCAAAGTTTTAATGGTTCAGAGAAGCACTCAGGTACCAGCAGTGGGCTATATAGATGCAAGGCCTGGGCCTGGTTATTATCTTGCATACAAACATTCACAAACTCACAGCAAAGCTCATTAAAAAGCCTTTTAGGACAGGTGAGAAGGGGAGAGGGGACTGAATTCCAAAAGAGAAAACCAAAGAAAAATGAAGGCTGGTGTTTACTTTGAGAATGTCATAGGCATCACCTTCACCGTCAGGAGAAAGGGGTATGTAGACAAATCCATTTAATAATATGTTGTCAAGTGACACGCAAGGGTTTATGTTGTCTTCTTCCAGGTAGTAGTCCTTGAAGCTGTAACCGTGGATTTCTTTCACTGGGAGAAGATCATACACCTGGGGAAATACAAGGAACCAGGGGAAAATGTTGCAGGTCAGAACTTAGAGGGACAAAGACACTACCTAACACTCCACCGATAAAAGCCAGCTACTAAAAAGAAATGTAGTAAATGTAGCTATAAAAATACATGGCCCAGTGTCTATAGTGGTGTCAATAGGTACTTGGTTGGTTCTCATACTTGATCATTACCAGAAATATCTAAGACTTACAGAGCTGGGAGAGAGCTCATCTTCAGGCTTCATAAGGAGAACACTCTTGTCCACAGCACGGAGGGCACACAGGGACCTTGGTGAAGTACGGATTTGCAGGCGTGTGTTGGAGGCAGGAAGACCTTCCTTGGGTTCAAAACTCAATCTGACCTGCAATTCCAAAAGGTAGTGAAATCAGACACTTTTCCAGATGCTGTTACATGCTATTATACTGAAGCATCCAGCCTTGTGAACTGAGCTCTGCTAGCACCTTGACATTCCAATATATATTCAGCTTTGGCCAATATAAGTAATAATGGCCAGTGATTCTTATTCTGTTTTGCTCCACTTTTTATAGTTATGGCTTAGAAACGTATTCTGGAGCTTCTGTCCCTAATCCTCAGTCAACATCTGGTCAAACCATTTCATGAACCCGCTGCGAATTCTACCTTCATGGAACTCATAACTGAACTACTGGCCACAAGACAAACATGGGTTGCATAAACCCTGGCTTATACTTACTTTATTGGGGAGGCAGCTTTCAACCTGGAAATCTCCTGAACTGGCAATGACTTCCCCACTGGGTGAAATGGTGTACACAAGCATCCGTGCCATGGGAGCAACTGCTGCCTCAACAGGGAAGGTCAACTGAAATGTCCCATAAACTAACAAAGAGAAGAAAGGCTAAGCAATGTACAAGAAGTCCCAGTATACGCGTTTGTCTTCCCCACATAAGTCAAGTGCACTCATGCTGAATACTTTTAGATAGCAGGGGCAGGAATACTGACTGATACATGACTAAAGTGTATGGCTGTTGCTGAAGACACCCGCATTCAAACAGTGATCGTGTCATAGCCAAACAAGACGAATCCGGTGGGCCTCAACATGCCTTCTAAATTCTCACAAGTTAACATCTGGCATAATTTCTTGATATTCCCAACCCCTTTCTTTTTCTCAAACTCCAAGATCTTCTGCCAAGATCTACAAAAAACATAGAAATAAGGGACTGCTCTAATGGGTGGCATCAGTCGAGGTTGCAGAGTGGCTAAAACTCTTTGAAGTTACTGCTAAGCAAGCACTTTAGCTGAAAGATCAAACTATCACTTGAACCACACTGGAAAATGTCCCCCTGTTCTAGGTGGGCCTGAGCTTCATGCCACAATCTAGACAAGGTGAGAGAACATGTCTTGATACTAGCCAGGGGGTGTTAGTTTACTTACTGTTACTAGTGAGGATGCAGAACTCTCTACGAACAGGCAGCACCCAAGCTCTTCTACTTCCATATATTGTTTATACCTACTGCAGTGTAACTCCTTCTCATAGACTTCCAAAACATCTATCAGGTCTCATTTGTCAAAAGACTTTCAAAGATGCATCATAGCCAGTCCCAGTTACTGAAATGTGTAACTGTTGGATATTTGTTTGAATAAAACTAAGTTTATTGTTTAGAATATATAGATGTGTGTATTTGCGTGCTTATAAGGGTGAAACAATACCAACAAAAAAAAAGAAGAAGAAGAGATAGAAAGAAAGAAAAGGAGACATGCTCTTCTCTCACTATACATGAGTCTCGCAACACTGGTAAGCATCCACAGCCTGAATAGGGTAAAGTGGTCTGCAGAAAGAGTCAGTTTGAGGAAAAAACAACCAAAATATTATGCATATTTTTTGTTGATTTTACAAAATTTTCTTGTAAAAAAAATAGGACCTGACAGAACTCAGAGAAAATAAACCTAACCCAAGCCACTTCTTTTAAAAAGATTTAATTTTGAGAGTGCATTTCAATTCAAACATTAAATGTTTCTATACAACCCCCAAATTCTCACCAAAGATGCTAAAAATGCAAAGTTCTGCTCACCATCTCCAGGATCCACAGTCAGATCATAGGTATCTGCTAATATAATGCCTCCTTTGGCCATCACCTGTGTGACAGACAAGCCTTCCTATAATTTTGCTACTGGTGTTGAAGGGAAGGAAAATGAACATTCACCAGGTTAACTGTAGAGTGTGAATACGAATAGCACTGATAACAGTGAACAAAACCAAGAAAATACTAAGCAAATGCCAGACTGAAATTTCCTGTTTCTTTGGAGGCAGAAATATTCACTCCTAGGAGGACCAGTGTTTCCTCATTGGTCAGACCTGGCTTTACAATTACTTTCCACATAGGATATCTATTCCACAGAATCTTATTTTAATTTCAAGGTGTGAGATTAACACCTATAAAAATGTAAATTCCCTCACTGTTTTGTTACCTCCTGTATATATGCTTTCTTAAAACCAGCTTTCCCAGGCTATGGGAATAAATCGGAATCTTGTGCTTCAATTTGTTGCTAGCAGTCTTTAAAATAAGCACATGGACATCTCTAACACATCATCTATTCTCTTTTTCTGTAATGTCAGTCTAAGCACCATCCCCAATTTTCTGTACTTTCCATCAGAACAGGAGCGTCTGTTCCACTGATTTCTTCAAGCTCTCCAAGGCTGCTCTCGTCTTTTCTGCTAGAGTCATTAAATGGGATAACCAGAAAAACAAATTTAGGAGGAAAAAAGTTCTATCTGAATATTCACTTGGTTCTTCCTGCTCTCCCAATTGAATTGATAGATCATTGTTTGGTCACAGTTGAATTAGCATTTCTTCTCTGGCCCCCAAAATGAACCAATTCACAGTTCTCAGTGACAGCATGTTATAGTCTGTTCCAATTACTGTGGTATTCCAAACTTTTCACCATTGCCTGACATACAACCTACACTCTAAGCTTATTGGACTTTTCTGTTACTGTAGTTAGAGGTGTTGCTTTAGTTTCACTAGTCAGATAACTACCAAGGGACAAAACTGAACATGAGACAGCTTTCCTCATCTTCATCTTTGTTCTTCTTTGTTGTACACTGCTGGTTTCTGGGCCGTGACCACGTATGGACCAGAATTTGGAGTTGGAAAAACTGAGAATGAAGTAGTATGAAATGAGCCCTGGATAGCTGCGCCCAGGACTGTGCTCTCTCCACCAACATTATGTCTCTCTCTGTTCTTAATAAAACATGTACACCACAACCATGTCTGTACACTGAAGACAACAGGAGAAACATTACAGAAATGTGTCTAAATCCCACTGCTACAGGTCACACTTTCTGTTTCAAACTCTCCCTATCATCACTGGCTAAGGACTGACCATATAGCAGTGCTGATAGCTATATGTGTCACTGTGCTCTCTACCCATAGGTCAAAGGAAGCACAAATAATTCTTACCAAATAGTAAATGACAATTTTCTTCTGTTCTCCTATGGCCTCTGGTGTGAAGATGTAGTGTACCTGGATCTCTGTGGGGGAGCCACAACTTAATGTCTCAGGCTTTGGCTCAATTTTGAGGAAACTCTTACTGGGAGAGTAAAACCGACTTATTCTACGCATGGCATGCTCATATGAAGGTGTGATCCAGTCGCTGTCATAACAGTTCAGTTCAGGTTTATGATCAGCCTGATAAAGAAGAATAAGAAGTTTATAGCTGATGGAAAACAGGTAACAAGTCACATGAAAGTCCACAGGAAAACTCTGGGTATGTATGTTCTATATTTCCCATTCTGAGAAGAAGGTAGAGAACATGCATAGAAGACAGGAAGAAAAGAGGTGACATGCAAAGAAACTTGCTATATTTTCCAATTGGCAGAAAGAGAGAAAACCCATGGATAGGTATTTCCCCAGCTGATCAGAAAGGCATAGTCTTACCCCAGTCCCTCTGCCCTGTTTCTGCCACTCACTCGGATTTCCAGGGAGGCTTGTGTGAAGGTGGTAGTGTCTATGGAAAACCAGGATTGTCCCTGCTCATCTGTAGTGTAATTCCCTTTGTACCTGTCTCCATCCACAGAAATCGTGATGGTTTCATTGGCAACTGGAGTGTCAGTTCCATCTACCAGCTTCACCTAACAGAGCAAAAACAAACTTCAGGGTTTAGACTAGAAACAGAAAACAATTCCCAAGTCCTAAAGCCTGTTCCCTTTTCTTCATTGCCAGGCAGGATGTTTCTTTGCACAGAAGAACAGAAGACATGAATGTGGAAATGTTTGAGGTGAGTACTGAGTTGCCTGAGGCAGCAACTGAGAAAATTCTCAGCGAAACAATCTTATTGGTCCAGGTAAATTACGTGTCTGGTCCCTAAGCTCCTCAGTAGGTTTCAATTCCCCTGGCCAACCTCATTTGGGACCTGCACCACGTATCATCTTCCTCTTGGTTCAGGAACTTAAAGTTCAGGCTTGTGTCTTGCCCCAGCCCTTCACTAAAGCTGCATTGGAGCTAGACTTACACCCAGCTCTTTCTCCTGTTGTTCCCACCTAGTTAACTGGACTTCCTTGGTTGAGCTCAGCCCTGACTCATCACCTCACATTGTCTGGTGGTCACTGGACTGTTGGTGGAACCTGTTACTCACACCACTCCCACTCTGTTTAGTCTGCTTGGCAATTGTGGGACTGTGCCATTGTTGATGAGGTCACTACATCTACTTGTGTCATCCTTTGCACCTGGATAATGTTCCCTTGTGGAACAGCCCATGTTTGCTCCTCCCTGAAGTTATTCTCATGTGTCAGAGCAACGCCCCTTCTAGTCTTTACTGGGCTGACTGCCAGGAAGCTCAATGCCATGTGTGTGTTAGAGTACCCCAATAATCAGTAATTCCTCTGCAAGGTGGACCATGTCATCTGCACACACTGCTATTCCATCTGATGGGATTGTGCATTTGTGAGTTTGCTCTGCCACTCATTGTCCAGTGGCATAACTTCCCTACCCTCCCAAAGATTGGGATCCCTGGTCTGTACTGAGAGTCCAGAAGGTCAAAGCTGATTTTGCTCATGATGGATGTGATTCCACAGGAGCCTGTTCCAGTCATCTCTATTCCTGAGACAGAGCAGAGTAAAGAGGGATTATTATGAGTAGCAGCATTTATACACAGGTTACTCCACCTTCCTTATCTTTGCCAGGCCCTCCCCTCTTATGGTCTGCCATCACTTTGCCATCTCTATGTGGTACATACCTGTGCCATCTTCTGTGATCTTGCCTTGTACCTCAATGCTCATCTCATATCCCCGGCGTTGGAGTTGAAATATCTTGGTTCTTACTACAGTAGAAACACACCCACGAGCATCTGCCTAAACAGGAGATTGGAAGGAAATTGGAATTCTGTGAACAATTTTGGTGTCTTGTGGGACAGGAACAGACACTCCAAACCTAACATGCTTAACTTCTGTTCGGGAAATCCCAGCCTTATGTTCTAGGGTTGTCTCCAAGATCACAACTTGCTTACAGCCTGTTTCCTAGTGTTTCATTCAAACATTTTCTGTATCCTCTGAGGTACTTGGACACTCAGTTCTACAAGGCATGCACTGGTTTCCTTGTTAACCCCTCCTACCTTAGTTCTGTTTTTCTTTGTTTCTCCTTTCTCCTGTATTTGACCCATATACAATACCACCTTCTTGTTTTCTCCCCATCCTCTTTGCTCCTGCTCCCTGCCAATCCCTCCCACAGTTGCAAAGTTCTCTCACAGATCGCTTTTTCAGTTTGGGGATCCACAGCAGGGACCTCACAGGTGCTAAGTGGAGATTTGTCACTAGCTTCAGTTGGGTTAGGATTTCAGCTGTGGGCTTTTCTTCATCAGTTTAATGACTCGCCTCTTAAGAATGCCTTCCTCTGAGAACATCTACTTTTCCCCAGACAGAGTACTACCTCTGATATCCTGCTGTTTCCCAACAGTTACAGATTTAGCCTTCTTTAGATAACACTGACCATTACCCATAAGCAAGACCCCTACATTTTAATATTGGGACTCACCTGTCCAGTGAATTCTTCACACACAGCTTCTGCTTCTTTTCCATAACAATTTGAAGCAGAACGGGAAAATTTCCGGCACACTTGGACATTGACCAAGCCAGGAACAGGTTTCCCATAGGTGTACCTATAATGACGAAGTGTTTATCAGTCAGAATCACACTCAGACACATTTCCTGAAAGACCTCTGTGGATGACTTCCTAGTATTTCTTCCTAAAGGCTGACTAATATGATATTTTAATGATTCTAGTGACTACATTTCTATCATTTCCATGTTGAGATACTTCCATTATCTATTAGAATCTGTTCCAAGTGGAAGCTCTCTGCAGCAATGCAGAAAAACATTGTCTGTAGAGTATTATTTCAGCCAGGAGCATCCTTGTATCACAAACTGCTGAGGGGTCAGTGAAGAAGTAGAGAGGCAACCAGGGCCTTGGGAGGAACAATTTATGAGTTAAAAATGAGAACACTGAGTTTGTACCACCTGTTTAAATGATGTCTGATCTGACATCCCTGAGTATTTGAAGGCTCAGGTATGGCAGAGATTCTCTAACTGAAGAAATGTAAAGACAGAAAAAGAAAATGTATAGTAAACTGAGATAGGAGAGCTGCAGGTTGGGTTGGCATCATCTTTTAAGAAACCCAGAGAAGACCTTTTACTTTGATTTTTCAGGCCAAGTAGCAGGCTGAGGATTAATATGGTTGAAACAAACTTGCATGGGATGTTTGGGAAAAGTATGAAAACCCTTCCCCAGCTCTTGATTCAGACCTCAGCAGAAAGGAGAAGTGAAGGATAAGTGACAGTGATTTACTCTCTTGTGACTCACAGACCACAGACGGACACTGGAAACTCCTTTTCCTTAAGAGTGATCATCTTGGGCAGCTTCACCAGGACTTCGTATTTGGGCAGCACTAGATGAGATAAAGTCTGACATGAGAAGAGTGGAGGAGAGCTGTGTACCACATAGCAACCCAAACACAGAGCCAGGATCATCTTAATATGAACCATCACCTCTGTGGTTTTCAGCACAGCCCTGCTACCACTTCACTAGGTTTTCACCACTATTTGGGTTTAAAGAGAATTAAGGAGGGTTGTAGTCCTTACCTTCTCTCATTTGCAGCACATGCGATCTCAGACAGCTGCATAGATCCCTTACACATGGCCATTCAGGACACACTGGTCCTGTGTATTGTGCTCCATAATTTGCAGCACATTCACCACCTTTGTAATCTAGCACATCGAAACAGCTTGAATCATTGCTTCTTTTGGTTGGTTGTCACTGTTCTGGAGATCCCAACAGTAACAGATTGTTACTGTCAGGCTCAGTAATATGCAGCATGTGAAACTGTCCTCCATGTCCAGGCAGTTCTGGTGCCTCACTAGACACAGACTCAGACACAGACTCTCAGCTCTTTATTTTCAAATGGTCAAGGCAGAAATAAAGCCTAATATAAAGGGTGGCAAGTAAAAGACATATTTTGCTCCTGAGTGTTAAATTACATTCCTTTTCCTATATTGCATCCTGCAAAACTAATCCGCCAAGTTCTCAAGTCCAGGACTGGACTGAAGCATTTAATGGCCTTGCCTCCAGGTGGTGAACCCCATTGGTAGTTTTTTTCACAGTGCGAGGAAATAAGAGCAGGGAGGGTACACAACCAGGTCCAGGAACTGGAAAGCAACCCTGGGTTATACAGTTTAGACACAAATTTGCCTCTAGGATGGGAAGAAAAGCTCCATGTTTCAACCCCAGGGCACATGACCTCGAAAGGCTGTATGAGAACTAGCAATAGAGGAGATTAATGAGAATAAGACTGAAGAACAAATGAAAGAAAAACCAGTTTAGTGTAAAGCTAAGAAAGCGACATAGATCTTCGGTTTTGGAGGATGTCCAGGGTGATCTCTGTGGGAGGAGGGACAGCCCATCTGTCAGTGTGGCAGGCTGAAGCCTGTAACCGGGTTTGTGTTCGAATTATTCATCATGTTCATACTAGCCACCAAGCCTGCTGTAAAACCAAAAAAGCCAGCTCCCATGGAGTTCAGTGACAATCTTCTTTGGGTTGCAACCTGAATATTCTAGAAGCAGCAGGTTCTGAGCAATGCGCTGGGTCGTTAGGGCTCTATGTACAGCTGGGGGGAGTCTGGGAGTGCAGAGCACAGGCCAAGCAGTCTCCTCGAACACAGAGCCTAGCCTGAGTACACTTCTACAAATACCTGAGAAGTCTTATTACAGAACTTGGGGTTAGAATGCTCCCAGGGCAGCACATTTCTCCTTTCTCAGCCTCTGCTACCAGTCTGTTTGCATCTGCTTGTAACTTTTGTGGAGTGTTCTTCTTCAAACTGAAATTTTCTACCAAACATGTTTTCCAAGCTTTTGCAGAAACAAGGAAGAGGAGGAAAAAGAGAGACGACTACAAGAAACGGAGAAACAGATGATGACAGAGGCAAAACAGGGTCACCAAAATCCTGTTATCTCTTACTCTGTATCTAGAGCTGCTTGCAACAAGCTGCTGGACTGAAAAATGACTAAAACGGAGTCAACTGAAATGGTGGTATGAGCCCTGCAGAGGAAGCCTGTTAGACCCTGTACTCCCAAGAGCACTGTGTGCAAATACAACCTCCGGGAGGTTGCAGAGATGCCACAAAGAGAACAACTATCTGTGATACCCAGGACCTTCAGGGTCGGCCCTTCTGAATCCCATTGCCTGTGTATTCAATCCCTCCCTTCTCCATGCCATTCCCAGGAAATCCCAAATTGAGAGGTTACAGTGAAAGGTATTGCTGTCAGCCCCGTATCTCCTCTCCTTACCATATTCCTCTACTCTGAAGGAGTGCTCCACATGGGATGAGAAGCTCTTCTGCACAACTATTTTGTAGGAGCCTTGAGTGGGGTCCGAGGTGAGGGGGAAGGAGAGCTGTGTGAGGCCACTCTCTAGTTCCACATCTTGCCACTGGTATACACGGTTCCTCTGGGGATCCTGCAGGTTAGGACAACACAAGGTCACAAGACAGTACAGGAAGCTCCCACAGACAGAGCAGTGGAATGCCCAGTATATATACATCCTGGCTGGGAAATGCCTAGATGTAATTATTCCATAAACTGTGAGGATCTGTGAGTGCTTACCTGTCAGTTCTGCATAACTAGCATGAAAGAAAGACTTTCAACCCTGGGTTGTCTCCCCCTCAGGTATACCTACATGCTTACGAAGGATGAAGCCAGGAAACTGGGAAAGACAGGCTGGCAAGGTAAAAAGATGAAGAGATGCATAGCAGGAGTAAATGGAGCGTGGGGAGAAAAGAGGGAAGTTTCAGTCTCTTCCACTTGCTATATAGCCTGCTCATTTTTTTTTTCCAATGCCTGGAAAAGAGACTCTCTGAGAACCAGTGTACAGTCAGACACCTGCTCTATTTATGGGACTGAGAAATATTCAAGAGTCCAAACCTTGGGATGGGGTGGGAGAGTGGGGACAGGAACAGAGGAAAGTATATCCCACATATGTGCTCTACCTTCTTGTTTCTCCCTGTTCCTAGTGCTGGAGCTGAAGTCTTATCACTACTACAGCTGAATACTGCTCACCACGAACCATCAGTAGGCTATGCTCCAAACTCATGACCTCAGCTCCAAACTTCTTGGAGAAGTCACTGAAGCAGCATAGTGGTGCTATATAGTTTGATATACCTTTTCCTGGCTCCTTAGCAGGATGGTTGGTTAATGTTTACAATCTTTCATTCTCTGCCTGCTCTTTGCATTGTATCTTGGCTGTCACCAAAACTCTATTTACCCTAGATAGGTATGTGACTCAAGGTATGCAACTGTGTGCATTGACTGCACTGAGATTTTACCTCAGGACTCAGAGGAAAGGGGATGTGAATGACATCCCCTCATTGCAAGTCACTGGTCAGGGGGCAGAAGAGGCAACCTCCTTCCTAAGAATCACCCCAGGAGGTGCACAGCCAGTAAAATGCACCACACAGCTCTGACCAAATCTTTTTCATCATCACATTTCAACCCTGCTGAAAAGCTCAACACTTACTGTAAGGGACACGACTGGGCTTCCTTGAAAGAAGAATTCAAGAAAATATTTACAGCTGAGCTTGTGAACTTGGTGCCATTTCTGTGATGTATTTAGAGGGAAGGACTAAAAGTTGGTTTGGTTTTCCTCAGAAAGGTTTGTGTTGGGTTTTTTTTTAATGACAGAAGCAATAGGTCAGGATAATAGTTCAGAAATAACAGGCTCACACTAACTTCTACCTTTGTGGCTGACTACAGTCGATTAGTGACATTAAGGGTATGGACTGGTGAACATTTCTTTCCTTAGCACTGTTGACTTTAAGCTGTCACCTTTCTTCACTCCTGCCATGCTTTCCTTTGGGCTGGTCCAAATTTCATGCAAGAATGTGGTAAACTGCACTGGCAGATCTGACCTGGCTGGAAAAAAATACCCTAGATAAAAATGGTGTATTTGCTGCCAGATGAGTTTCCCACTCTACAAGACTGCCTTGCAGGCATCTGTGAAAGCCAAAGGGTAGTGCTGGACTGAGAAGGAGCACTAAGGAAGAGAGAGGTGATGGTGAGGATGGAGAAGAAGTCCTGCATGAACAAGCTTAAGCAGCACAGACAAACACTATGACTTACAGGCTGGAGCTGAAAACACAGGATGGCCTTCCTGGTGATTTAAAACTGAAGCCTTTCATGGTACTGAGACAAAAAAGGGACTATGAAAGTATTAAGAAAAAAGTATTTGTTAGGCAAATTTTTAGGCAAAGGCATGTGGTATTTCTGGAGGGAGTGGATAGGGTTTATTTCTTCTTGGTCCTTTCATAAAATTCCTGTACTCAGGCAAGTATCACCTCATTGAAAGGGGAGGGACCTGTGTGACAACCCCATAGGAGAGCCTCAGCAGAAGGTAGTTCCGAGATGATCTCCTCCATCTCGTATCCCACACCACATTGCTCTCTTACTCTTCTTTCTCAAGATAGTCACAGACCACCAGTGGCCCACCAGATCTGCAGCTCTGTTCTGAAAGTTTGCTGAGGGGAAGAGTGACCACACTTTGACAGGAGGGTAGAAAAGAGTAGCATAGCCTGTGTGTAGCCCAGAGAAACATCCTCCCTATTAACTTTTGTTGGTTACTGAAGTTCAACAGTTCTGAAAACTCAAACCAACCAGACAAAAAGGTGATACTTGGACAGATAGGGGACCTCCACTTACAGAATTTTGTTTCTTTAGTTTTGTTTGTTTGTTTGATGCAGTTCTGTGTTAAACAGCCACACTTGGCAAACACAAGGTCTTAGCTCTGTTTGGGAAGAGGAGTAAGCCATTCTGGTATGACCTGTAGGCAAATGTAATTCTGTTCACAGCATGGCTTGCACTGATTAACTATTTTGTTCCTACAGCACATTCCCCAGTCAAAGAACCATTGTTGGAACTACTTTGATATCCAACTACTCAGCTTTCCTGTACACAACGAAGAAAGGTAATGTGCCTATGTCTTTTCCCTTGCACCTCAGCCTGAAAATGCTGCTGCTGGAGACTACTACCTCTGTGCCTGTGTGTTCCGGCAGAATAACAGACATGTAGCTATCCACTCACCTGAACATAGACAAATGGAAACTGTGGGAAAAAAACAAAATAAAACCAGTGTTAGAAACATTAGTCACACATGGCTGGAAGTAAGTTCCAGATTTGGACTTAGGGGCAGAAAAACAACCTTCCAAAATGTCCTTTGTGTTCTTCCTGTTCTGTATTTGCTCTATTTCCTTAGTTCTTGATGGTTAAGGGAATCTTTTCTGTAATATTTTAGAGCCCCAACTTTTTGTCTCACCACAGTATGAAAATGTGGTGAAGTGAGAATTTTCAAAGAACTTGTCTGCACGAGGAACCGATTACCAAATAAGCTAAAAGGTGGATTTACACCCCTGACCAGTTCCTTGAAACCGGTTTTTGTCATACTGCTTTCTTTGCCTATAAGCATGTGGTTGCACCCACTGCCAGAAATAACTGCACATCTGTCAGTTTCAATGGAAACTTGTCCCACCCATATTATTCAGTAAGGAGATTCCTGCCTACATGCTTAGCCACATACATTCCTTTGCAAATCTGGTTTTAAACACCTATATTCTTTTGAAAAAGGGCACGTGTTTCTCAGTCAAGGCACCAGTGGAGTGTGTCCAGGGTAGAATGGGTCAAGGATGGTGTGATTAAAAAAGGATCATATGCTTTAAAGGCTGTCTTCAGTGGTTCTGGATGATGATAGTGATGGTGTTAATTGGGAATTAAATGTCCTGGCTAGCAACGAGGAATTTTATGGCTCTACCTTCTCATTCAGCGGGTGGAAATCTTTGTCCAGGGAGACGATCCGAAATAGAACTGAAGAGTGCAACAGAAAAGAAGGAAATTCTACTGTTAAATTTGTAGTGATTACCAGGAAATCTCACTGTTTGTTTCAGTAATTTCTAACTCAAATTTGTTCCATGGATCAACAGGGGCTGAACTGAGATGTCCAAGTAACGGAAGCAATTACTTCAGGGTCTTTCTCTTACAGATGGTGAGAGACAGGTAAATTTAGAAACATAATCATGTCTTGGCTGAACTGAATTCAGTGACTTGGGAGTGCCTGTCCTGCTTTGACAACACAGGTGCAGCCAAGGGAGACTATGATTTTAAGTGTCTCTAGTAGCGTGGAATGAATCTGAGCCTGTGCCAAGATCTGGCTGAGATGCTGTACCTGGAGGGTGGAGAATCACAGAATGATTAGGATTGGAAAGGACCTTAACATCATCCAGTTCCAACCCCACTGCCATAGGCAGGGACACCTCGCAGTAGACCATGTCTCCCAAGGCTCTGTCCAGTCTGGCCTCAAACACTGCCAGGGATGGAGCATTTACCACTTCTTTGGGCAACCTCTTCCAGTGCCTCACCACCCTCACAGTAAAGAACTTCTTCCTTTTATATAGAACAGGAATGATGAAGGTACCACATCCCCTAGATCTCAGCTGACAAATAAGATTTACTGAGTGCTTTATCTCCCCCCATGAAGTCTGAAAGCTGTAATAAAAGTATGGGACCTCTATGAAATGAAGCCTATAAGATTTTCTGCTGTCAGAGTCAACACCAGCCCAAGTCCTCATACCTGTCTGTCCAGGCTTGTAGATGGGTTTGTCTGTCTGGACGAAGACCAAGCTCTCAGAATTCTTGACCAGCACCGACTTGCGGCTCGTGAAGTGCAGTGTCACACCCTTCACCGTTACAGTGAGAAAAGTGGCTGATGTGCTATTGGATTTTGGAAGCTAAGGAAAATGAAGAGGATAACTGCTTTACTGATTCACCCCATTTCACTAAGCCTTCGAAAGACAGTGTACTAGCTAGGTCCGAAAGTTGTCTAAACAGACACCAAAGGCTCAGTGCTAGAAGCAAGAGAAAAACATGATTTTCTGATATGAACTTGGGGAGCTTGTCTCCTCTGTCTCAAGAAAATAATTTTCCTTCAGGAACTGTTGCAATGGTAGATCTCCATTTCCTTGACTTTTTTCCATGCTGCTTCCTCCTCTTCTTCCAATACTAGAAACCTTTTCCCTTCTTTCATTTATATACTTTCCTCAGAGAAATATTGAATCTGATCTTGTTCCATCTTACGATTTATCAAAATGGAAATCAACCCAGATTCATGAGTTAGGCAATGGGCCAGTTGCTTACATTACTCACCAACCAGCCTTCTGCAGGAAACAATCATGAATAAGCTCCAGAAGAAAACAAATGACCTCATGGATATCACTACCTTAACCATTCCCCAGCTTCTAAGGTTCACATTCCACTTCGCTATTTTTCCTCTGAGGTTTACACAGATCAAACAAACATGGGATATGTTCTGTCTGTTGAGGTTCTAGAACGAAGGATCCCAAAAAAAGTTCTCTAAGCCTTGCGTGCACAGAAATATCATGTAGGACACAGCATTTGGTAATGGTGGATAAATACTCCTCATAAGCCTATCACAGTTAATTTGCCACATCAAATTCGTTTTTCGTTTGGCTTAGCTTAGAAGTTTCTGATTGCAATATGTCTTACTTCTCATTTCAGGACTGTTTAGATATACTATGCCACATCAGTAAACACAAGGGATCATTCCACAAGGATGAGATACTCACAGAGAAAGGGATGCAGGTAAATACATCCTTCTCTGACACCAAGTCGTCAATCAAGCTCCTGTTTTCCCCTTGATACTCGAGCGCGGCACTCAGCGTCACAGACTCATTCAGGTGGGTCAGCTGAACACAGACTTTCTCAGGAGAATCGGTGTGTATCAGAAAGGGCAGTAGCACCATATACTGCCTAGGAAGAGAGGGAAGCAAGAATCAAGAGGATCAGAAATGTGAAACCATTTTAAGGAAACAGTATTAAGTGAAAAGAAATTAACAAATCAGCATGCCTAATCCATTACCTATGAATTGCAGTGCATGTACACATGAGCATTCATTTTATTTTGGGTTTATACATATTAAACTGCCCGACTAATTAGCTTAAAAGCAGGAAAATGCTTGCAGTGGAAGGAATAATTTCTGTGCTAACAGAGAGCCCTTTACAAAGCATGTTTTGTTCAGCTTCACAACAGGGAGTAAGGATGGTGTGAAAGGTTCCAGACTGTTAATTATTTTTGTATATCCCACAATCTCCTATTGAGACTCAAAGGCATTAGCTAAAAGAGGCTGAAAATTCAGCAGTTTTAGGGTTGAGAAAAACCACCCACTTGTCTGGCTGCTCCTGTCTTTGCCTATCCAGGTTTCCAAATCCTTTTCACGCTGAGCAAAAATATGAGTGCTTGCAGTTTGGGACCTTATTAAGGTGAGCACACAAAGGATTTCAGAGAGCAGTGGTTTATTGCAACACAAGTGCACTTGCATCTTCAAAGAGCTTTCAACAAAGGTCCCTCACAAAAGACCCTTAAACTAAGCTGACATACAATAAACTGGATCATTTTACTAGTTTTTATTAATAAATCAATTAATTCTGACCTTGATTAATTGGTCAAAAGATCAGAAACAAAGGGTTAAAAAGACCACAACAATGTTTAACTTTTATGAAAGGTTAAAAGATCAGAAACAAAACCAGTGAAAATTTCTGGAGGCTGTGTTGGGACCCCTGTTTTTCAGTAGACCTCTAAGTGATGTGGGAAATACGATTTTCTCGTAATTGTCCAGGGGAACTGGACAACTTCCATATTTGTGGAAACTGATTTTATGTCAATTGACTTACAGATATATGGAAAACTTTTGTCCTATGGTGGGACTGTGTGGCAAAAATGGCAAATGAACTGTTCACAATGGGAAAATAATCAATAGATAATAATCTATAGAGGAAGAAAAAGTGTGACCAGCAGGTCAAAGGAGGTGAACCTGCCCCTCTACTCTGCTCTTGTGAGACCTCACTTGGAGTATTGTGTCCAGTTCTGGTGTTCTCAACATAAGAAGGACATGGAGTTGTTGGAGCAAGCCCAGAGGCTGGAGCACCTCCCATATGAAGACAGGCTGAGAAAGTTGGGGCTGTTCAGCCTGGAGAAGAGAAGCTGCGTGGAGATGTCAGAGCAGCCTTCCAGTATCTGAAGGGGGCCTACAGGAATGCTGGGGAGGGACTCTTCATCAGGAATTGTAGTGGTAGGACAAGGCATAACGGTTTCAAACTTCAACAGGGGAAGTTCAGGTTAGATACAAGGAAGAAGTTCTTTACTGTGAGGCTGGTGAGGCACTGGAACAGGCTGCCCAGAGAAGTGGTAAATGCTCCATCCCTGGCAGTGTTTGAGGCCAGACTGGACAGAGCCTTGAGCGTCATGTTCTAGTGTGAAGTGTCCCTACCCATGGCAGTGGGGTTGGAACTGGATGATGTTAAGGTCCTTTCCAACTCAAACCATTCTATGATTGTGTGATTCTATGAAAAAATTAGCCTGACAGTATATATAGTATCATGTATGTGCAGCATCACTAAGTGGGCTATTACCATTCAGACATGAGTGCTGTTTATCACTCTTGGAAAATTCTCCCTTAGTGATAAGTAACAAGTGCACTGTAGGGAAGCATTCAGAAAGGAATAGAGGACAAACCAGAACACGCTATTCTGCCATTGTATAATCGTAAGGTACTTCCACATCTCACATGCGGCATGCATTTAAAAAATGGATTTATCAGAAAAGATTCAGCAAAAGATGGCAGTGATGATATGAAATCTAGAATGATTTTCGTAGGAGGAGACACTGTATAGATGAAGTCACATCAGAAAGGTATAAAGTCATGATGTGAACAAAAGAAAACATGGTTTGTTCATCACCTGTGACAGCAAGTTTAGTAAACACCACCACAAGAAAATACTAAGCATCTGTCTTAAAAATAGAAGGGAACAGAAACTTTTTTGCTAACGTACAAAATTAAACTGAGGAACTTCATGCTACCCATTGTGGCAAAATCCAAATATGCAATTCTGGTGTGGACAGCCCATGGCTCTTGAGCTCTGGAGTCCAAAAAAGGCAGTATGCCCTGGCTGCATCAGGTAGTAAACAGCAGCCTACTGTGTGAGAATCAAAAGGATCCAGCAGGTGCCAACTAGGTATTATCCAGTTGGATAATTAGGGCCTCACCTGCACATCCAGCTAGGATCATGCTCTTAAAAGAAGCTGTTAATCCCCACCTGCCAGTAACAAGGCATATGCTGCCTGCCCAATAGCACTGGCTACATAAAATTTGGTGTGAGGCTCTTAAGGGCCAGAAGATCAGTTACTCCTGATATGAAGATTATTAAAAATGTCCTGGGTAAATTAATTGCCCAGAATTGGCTACAAAACATAGCAGCAGAGGTGCCACAGTAAGACCTTGAACTTCTGATAGGAGCTCCTTAAGTCTACAACAGATGAGAAACTCATTTCCACAGTACTTGTTTTGTTCCTCAGCAAGGTCCCTCAGTACCTACAACTGACTGCCAATGCAGACAGAATACAGAGTCAGTGTAGTCCTCTGGTCTGAAGGACCATTTTTATGGGTCTAGTACTCCTTTTTCCCTGTGAGCATACAAGCTACCCAGAGCAGAAGGTTCTGATGGCAATACAGTCTGCAGGGTATGTTAATCAGTGTATGCATGGGACAAAACCTGTGGTCAGGACTGCTCATACTCTTCCACGGAGAAAGCTAAAGTGCACCTTGCCAGATGGTGCCAGCCCTGAGGAAACAGCTGTACCCATCCAGAACTATATTATTGCCTGAGATCTGGGATTTTGGCAAGTCCTACAGCTATTGTGGAGGCAATGGAGCCCAGGCAGTACATTTGTTTCCCTCATCACCAAGCAACAGGATAAAGTGTGGTGATAGGCCTGATGGCAACTCTGGTCATGCTGTTGCAGAAGCAGTGAAAGGCAAGAGCTTCAGCCACCCCAGGAGTGACTTACAGCTTGTGACTGCTTGCTCTAGTGCTCCTCTTCCTCCACAGCCTTCTCACCACAGCTTCACCCTGTGCCTGCTTCCCCTCGTCTAATTTCCCCTACTCTCTGTCAGTGGAACTGGCAACCTGACTATAACATCCCATCTGCTGAAGGACAGTGTGACCTAGTTTGTGGGGAATTTGGCCTCATTCCTCTTCCTGTTCACTGTTCTGATGAAATTTTGGCCAACATACAGACCTTCCCCCTACACTGGCTTCCCTGCCTTTGAAAACAAGGAAAACCATGCTGTTTATACACCTCCCTTTAGCTGTTTTGGGATGTGTTGGTGAAAAGAGCTAGGTGAATTAAAGCACTATGAGAGCTTTAAATAACTTGGGTCACAAAGTCCATCTATAGACATTCCAGGACAAAAAGCATCTGGGCTTCCAAAAGAGACCTCAGCAGCCACCCTGCATGCAACCAACTGTTCTGACAACAGAGGCAATGACTCTGTCAGCAGTAGGCATCAAGAAGGGGTAGATGACCCAGAGAAAATGGCTAAGGCAAAAATTATGAGTTTGTTAATTCTCTAGCTTAAGATGGACTAATGTCTATGTACTGACTCTCAGCCACGTCCTAGAACAAACACCCAACCATCAGCTCCACCAACCCAAATCCATACGTGCCAATTCAAGTGCCAACATGACCTTGCCTTTCTGACCATATGCAGTCTATTCCCAAGAAGGCCCACTGCCTTGTAAAATGGCTTGCACGCACAACCACATACCAGAAGAGAGCAACAACACCTCCTGTTGAATTCTTCCAGAACAGACCCAGAGCAAGAAAAGAAAATCATCTTGCTGTCAGCATCTTGCAGAATCATAGAATTTTTGTTTGCAAGACACCTCTGGATGTCCCAAGCCCAACTTCTCTTCTGGAACAGGACCATTGCAAAGGACTCAGGAGATAGAATTTCCACCATCTTTCTGGGTCTCCTGTTCCAGTGCTGCACTAACTTGGTGCACTTCTAATATGTAGTCTGAGACTTAATTGTGTCTCCTGTGCAGCCAGCCACATCTGAAACAGAAATAGCAGCAACTGTTGCTGCTCAAAGAAGCAAACTCCCTGCTTGTGCAGAACACAGCAAGCAAGTCTGTTGGAAGCCTCATTTTGTCTCAGTTCAAGGCTGGCTTCTCTTCTGTATTGTTCACAACATCTGATCTACCCTGAAGCACTTAGAACCACAACCCTCGTGCTACCTAGCAATCGACTGCTCAGACTCCACTACCTCCCCATGGAGCTCCTGTCTTCATTCTGTGGATCCCAGCTACACCCCTCTCTTCCTCACCTCTCTTAGCCTTTCTTTGTTCTTCCCTCCCAAAATGGTACTCAGGTCAGGGATGAAGAGCAGGACGTTGCTCATAGGAGGAGGGGTCTGAGCAAATTCATTCCCTTTCCCTTTCATCTTGGGCAGGTATGAATAAGATATTTAATCATTAATTAATTGCATCAGATTACTGTAGGGAGACCAGAGACCTCTGCCTGATGCTGAAGCAGACTGCGCTGGCTGATCTGTCCCAGAAGCACCCAGACAGGGCAGATGAATGAGGGGTTGATGGTACAGTGTGAGTGAAAGGTCCTTCAGTCCGAGCCAGTCACTACATCACGTCTGATCACAAAGCAAGCAGCAGCAGTAATGCTGCACTTTCTGCCACCACTGCCAACACTACTGAGGTGCTTGTGGGCATGAAATCTCTGCAGCAAGCATTACAGGAGCTGCAACAGTGGTGGTGGTAACTGCGCTTCTGCCAGCACAACGCAGCCGGAAGCACAACGTGTGACAGCAGCCGGGGTCTAAGGAGGGTGGCTGCTCCTGTCCAGACTACAGGCTTCAGAGCAGCCCTCTGTAGTAGGGGAGGCTGAGTGGGGAGGCCAGACTCCAGCCAGCCTGTGTCTTCCTGGGCTTCCTCTCTCTTCTGGGCCCCCAGCAGAGCAGGCACCGCAGCCATGCGGCTGGTCAGCAGAGCCCGGAGGTGGATGACCCAGGGGAGGGTGCCAGTGCCAGGCTCCATGCTGGAAGAGGAGAATCTAGGTCACACGACCTTTTTTGGGAACAAGTACATCCGATGCTGCCAAGGGAAACAAACTGGCTTGAAAGCAACGAGAGAACAGGGAGAAACAACCCAGGGACTGAAATAAGGGTAATGCGGGAAAAGTAAGTACATGGATTCTAGCATCATGTCCACAAACCCCCAGGGACTTAAAGGTTTCTAGGCAAGAATATACTTAGGCAAAAATGCCGTGAAAAGTAAGAGCTGGACTAGCAGGCAGCTACAGGACAGGAGTGTGAGCACCGGCAGAGCTGGAGAGGGGATAGGTGTAGGTGTCCCAGGGCAGGACAAGCAGGGGTTTGCAGGGTGAGAGTGGGGAGCACTGGCAGAGCTCCCTGTGTGGGAAACTCAGGGCTTGGCTGGTAGTGGTGTTCCAGGCAGGAATGGAAGAAACTGGCATAGCTGTTTGTTTGACAGAAAGGAAGAAAACAGAAGGGGAAAAGAGCACTAAGAACTCCCCCCGCCACTTGCACGTGTGTTGCTTACGGTTCTGTGGTGGTAGAGCTGTTTCCAGGAAGGAAGAAGAGGAGAAGGAGGAAGATACTTGGTTTGCGGAGCAGCCCAGCCTTCCCCATGGTGCAGAGCAGGTTGTGGTGAGTCAAGCAGATACTCGGTCTGGTCTGGTGCTGCTGTTTGCCTGCACCTTGTAATTCCCCTCCACTCTCTGCTCAGTCAGCCTTTTTATAACTGCTCTCTGCAAACAGCCCAGGGACTGGAGGAGATAAGGGCTGGGGGCCAGGGCCCATCCGGAAATGGGGAGAGGCAGCAAGGAGGAGCTGGAACAGAGGGGCAGTATTTGGCCAGAGACTTTCCAAGTGGGGGAAGGGTATTTATTGAATACTGCTTACATGAGAAATCTTTGAATGATTCAAACCCTGCTTCCTTTAACCCATCAAAACCCACAGTGTTGGGGAAAGTTTTGTTCATCTCAAGGCAGCATAATACACAGTCTCTTAGGGTAGATAATATACATATACACATAATATACATAATACGCAGTCTCTTAGGGTAGATTTAGATTAGATATTCGGAAGAAGTTCTTCCCTGTGAGGGTAGTGAGGTGCTGGCACAGGCTGCCCAGAGCAGCTGTGGCTGCTCCATCCTTTACAGTGTTCAAGGCCAGGTTGGACAACCTGGAGCAACCTGAGCTTGGAGCAACCTGGTCTAGTGGAAGGTGTTCTTTCCTATGGTGGGGGGTTGGAACTGGGTCCTTTCCAACCCAAACTATTCTATGATTCTATGAAATGAACCATGTTCAACATAAGGTAATATTCCCTGTGGGCAGCATCCAATCACAGCACTCTAATATGAGGTACTGTGATCTTTCGAAGCCCAAAGCCAGGTTTATAGGTATTAAGAACAAAATGAAACACACACAGATGAACACTGCCCATATTATGTTAACGTAATACTGCAGTAGTTTGCTGACAGAGCTGCTAATAAAGCTACTATGGGTTAGGCAATCTGTCAGGAATATAACCCAAAATGGGGTGGAGTGCTAGTCTAGATATGGAAGTAAGTTCTGCTTCCACTGTGAATGTGCACCAATATTACACCATGTTGTTGGAAGACACCCTTGCCTCAACCAGCACGGTAATCATCTTCCATCATTTGGTGTCACCAGGAGTTCAGATGTCTCAGGTATTCCAGGTGGCTACTCCTTCCCTTTGCCAGATTAAGATCTGTGCTGCTGTGAGTCACTAGACACAGTGCTGCTCACTTGACTTGGGTCTTCTGCAATCTCCTGCTTGTAGTATCTTATCCAGAAGTTCAATCTAGTAAGAAAAGAAGTTTGCTAAATTCCAGCATTGAACAGAAATACTCAGTCCAAACTATGAGGAGACCCTGAGAGCCCTAACTAGGTGGCTGGTTTGCACCAGTCCTCAGAAAACTGCAGAACTGCAGCTGTAGGGCTTATTAGATCACAACAGCACAGGCAGCCCTATATGCTCTTTATCTGAAGATGAAGCTTTGAAAAAGAGTGAATGTGAAGACTGAACGTTAGCTCTACGGTGTGCCTTGACTCTGATGTAGCAGCTGGAAAAAACACAAGGAAGGGCAGTGCAAAGGCCCAGGAGAAATGTCTGGGGATGAAAGGAAGTTTAAGAATGGTGTTCAGAAATCGGGCACGGTCTCTCATGGAATAAAATTTAACACCTTTTATAAACCACAAAAGACAAGAAAACAGTCAAGAGGCAAGCAGTGTCTGCAGGGGGAAAGTGTTGTATCAATGTCATATGGAGGAGGAACAAACACATGCTCACTCAAACCAAAAGATTTAGAAGATTGTAAGTTAGAGATGAAAATACTGATAAAAAAGTGGTTGTGTAACTATGAAGTAATAAACAGAGCTTTCTCCATAAGTGCCCCCTATCATCTATCCTCTCACTCCCATCTTCGATTTCTCCTGTAAATAACTTGTGGAAAACAGCAGTTTTCAAAGCAATAGTGCCCTGGGCATTTGCTGGAAAACATGACTCATCCCAAGTTGCCTGTTGTCATTCAGGCTGCTGTAAACGGAAATCAAAAAGTAATCCGAATGGACACATGCATAATACATTCTAAGGATGAGCGTGGAAAACTAAAATCATAGATCTACAGGGTCATCAAACCCAGTGATTCCGTGGAGATCTTATTCACTATCATCTACTTCCTTCTATTAACCAATTTACCATCCATGAGGTGTAAAATACCTGTTTCTCCATCCCCCAGGAACCGCTTAGCTCTCTGACACCCTAATGCCCACTTTGCTTCTACAAGCACTAACTGCCCTTTAGTTCAGGCAGTTAGCTGGTGCTTCAGCTGGTTCCTCTCTCACAAAGCTCAGAACAAGTGGTCTGAACTTGTACTTAGTTTGAAAGCTTCTGGGTGCTTTTTCAGACCTCAAGGAAAGACTGGCTACTTCTTCCAACAAGGCTAGCTGGTCTAATAAAAGATAGCAGTGCTGAAAAGGGCATGCAACACCTTTGCCATACATGGTGATGGCTTCAGTGAACTGGCAGTCATGATTTTAATCACAGGAAAGAGATTTCCTCTTACGATAATGCTTCATACGTGTCTGAGGTCAGCGTGTACCTGGTAGATCAAGAGACAATCTGTTTATCTACTATCTTCAGTGACTAGTCCCCATATTAAGCTGGTACAAAACCTAAGTGAAACATTGTACCTAACTGTTAATCATAAAGAATTTAAATTAGGCCACATCATAGTAAATGGGTGATACAGACAAAATGCCTATATCAAATTTCTTATAACCCTCCAAGCACAGTGGATTTCTATAGTAAATACTAACAATTAATTTTGGTTCATCCTGCTTGAAAGTGAATGGTTACATATGTTTACTCTCATTTTTATACCTTTCGGCTGTTTCACAGAAGATTTTTGAAACTTATTTGTTTACAATTCTAAATTAAAACTATGATATTATTCTAAAACTTTATTTTGTTCCAAGGACCACTTAGTAAATTACCTTCCTTCTAGATAATACTCAGAAAGGTTACAGTGGTATATTGGTAAGTTATATGTGCTGACGCATTGGATTTCCTTTCCAGGTATTATCATATTGAAATGGAGCAAGATACCACATCAATAAGAAATGGATGCCATGGAAGCACTTCTGCATTACCTGGATGTATCATGATGACTTTTTTTTTAATGTATTTTCTGGAGCATTTAATTCTCCACAGTATTTCCTTCACAGGTTCCTTTCCACCAGCACTTTAAAATTCACTATTTTGAGTTGGACTGACTGGCACAAAAGGTGCAGTGAGTAAGTTAATACAGGCCATCATAAGTATTGATAAATTCCAGTCACAGCAAAGCTTATTCTGAAAAATTCTCTATAAGCCATAGAGTCTTCACTGCATTTCGTAGCAAAGGTGATAGAAAAATGTGACGTGTTCTACACCCCCAAGTTTAGGACCACTATAGAAAACATATTTCCCCATAAAAATAAAATAAGATATTGAGTGTGCAATAGTAATTACCTTAACTCAAATCTGGTATATTTTCCTCTGGCTTCTTTTCAGTTTTTATAGTTCAGCTTCGTAGATGACTACCAATTGTCCAGTAACAGAGTGGCTCACCAGTCCCTACAACTGCAGGAAGAAAAGGTGTCTATGGGTGGTTTTAATACCCTTAATACTATCTCAACACTTTCATCTACAGGAATCCTTGTCTGCAATCTTGAGCAATTTTGGAACCACTGTCACGAAAGGTAAATAATCTCAATAAGACACCTATTCTTTACTACATCCCTGTTCTGCCTTTTCAAGAACTATAACGCAATGTTCAGCTCTTAAAGCCAAACCAAAACAATAAACTTAACTTCAACCTTTGGCTTTCAATAAGAGGCAAGTGTTAAAAGAAAAAGCTGAGGAAACAGTTCTTTGTAATACTGGTATTGTGCCTAAGGTGGTCCCTGCACTTTCACACAAGAACCCCTGGTAGAAACCAGCTGCTCTAGCAAAAGGAATGTCTCTCTTCAGTACCGACATCAGCTTTGCACGGGGACAGGTGAGAAAACAATCACTGTAAATCTTATATTGACAGCTCTGGTTAACATGCTAACTGCTCAGCTAAAGGCTGGAAAAAAAATCAGTATTTTTATTTTAAAGGAAATCTAAATAATTATATTCATTTCCCCAAAGCAATTTATTTCAAATGACGAAAAAGCATTACAAGAAAAAGTACTTGTATAAATCAATAGGAGCAACAGCAACACCCAGAGAGATAAATAGGGTGACAAAACATTTCACATGCCATAGTGAAGGTCCTCTAACAGGAAACCTCACACAATATGAACATTTTGCAAGTTGCACCATGCAGATAAAGAAAGATACGCAATAAAATGCAAACTTCAATCTACTCTTAACCAGAGACAAAGGGCCTGGTGGCAGACGATCTGCCTTTCCCAGGCACAGAGAGCTGAGCTGCCAAATATAACATATTCCTATGGTGTCATGTGAACAAATGAGTAAATCCAGGCATGGCAAAGGCATCAATGAGTTACCCTCATTTTAATGCCCTTCATAGATTAAATTGCAAGCTAAACTGGTAGCTGGGATTTATAAATAGTCCTATAGCTGTATTTTGTGTGATGTAAGGCTAGCCCATTTGTAGGGTAAGCTCTATACAAGGTAGGGTATATCCAGGTTTCCCAGCTATAGTATAACAAACATCACCTCTATGCATAAACTTCGTCTTTTCTTAAGAGAAACATATGCTGTATGTTGCAAAAAATGCTGCAACCGAGGTTGTTAAGCCTCCAGCATGAGAAACCTGCAGCGTGTCTGTCTGAAATGAATGGTACACACAGAGAATAACCAGTTGTTGAAATCCCACTATTAAATCCACTAAAAGTAGTGAGTGAACGTTATCTAATGATTTTAAATATATAAAAAATAAACTATCTGTTTGCATGTTCACAGATATTTTGGATATTGGACATTACAGAGAAATGAAGGTAATTCCTGATGTAATAAAAATGAAAACCTATTTTAATTTATACATCTGTATTGCTCAGACTGTTGCCAAAGAAGGAGAGAGAAAGAGCCAAAACATTTACAAATGTATCTGAAAACAGCACTTGGCACAATTAACTATACTCTTTTTGAGTCATATGACTCTTCAGCTAAAACTTTACCATATAAAACCACATTTTGTAATGCCTATAAACTTTGTGTTTAGCGTTAGCT